TTAATGAAGCCGAAAATCGTTTGTTATAAGTTACAGATGCCGAATATGTTTTTTTTTTTAAGTTTTAGGAACCGAGAATCAGTCCTATGAAGATGCAGAAGTCCTAAGAATACACCTTTAAAATTGACAGAATTATCCATAAAATACAGCTATTTTATGGAACATGTAGCAAAGGCCGACAATCGTTTCTGATAAGCTAAATGCAACTGTTGAGAAAATTAAATATTCAGTTGATCTATTGATCCTATCGAAACATTCGATTCATCAGCATGCATTTTGGCATACTAAGTCTTGCATATCATGACTTAAGCTTAACGGCTACTTCAAAACCTCGATTAAGTTTGTATTTGATCAGCCATTCAATGACATTTGTTTTCATATCAAATCAGCAGCCCTGTTTTCAGTTATCAGAATCAGAATCTTCTGAATGCCTTGATTCCGCTCATTTGTTACCTCCAAACTCACCATTGCACTACAACCCTTTCCGAGCAACGCCGCTGTCATCGCTGTCGATGATTGATCATATCTGATAAACAACCCTGCTTCTCATCAACATCGCATCTGAAACCTTCAAGGAAGAGGATGACAAATTAACTTCAGCACGAAAAAAGTTCCAGATACAGCAAGACGTAGTTGGTGCACACATCTTGAATGAAATTCTTCCACTCACTCACTCGGTTCAATCTAATTTAAATATTTGCTCAGAGATTAATTATTTTATAATCTTCGACATCTCGCACAGCTGGTACAGCGCGGATAGCTGGCGGCCTTACCAAGGCTGCATCCCATCCCGTATCGTCGCATGTACCGTCGTCATGCGTTTAACGGTCGTATCTTACGGCAATGCTATGTTACTGCCGCTGCTGCAGCAGTCAGTCAGTGGAGCAGTTGTCGAATGGGGAGGGCAAAGGCGGTGCAGTGTGCAGTGCGCCGGAAAATCGCGTTTTACACGGTCGCTTTGGCGCGCAAGCGTCCGTAACCGAGCAATGGGGGAAAATTACCACCTCTGGGCAGGAGGGCACTCGCCAATGGGATCCATGGGCAGGAGAAACGACAACAGTAGGCAGGGGAAAGACTATAGCGATATAATCAGCGATCTTGGCGAGATTTCGCGCTCCGTGTGCAAGCTTAAAGTCGGTTAACAACCTGCGCGCATTTCACTGAGACCGGCGCGGCGCGGCGCGGTTCCGAGTGACGATGATGACAATCAGATGGCGAGAGGGTGAGGGCTGGAGCGAGGCCAGTGAGCGTCAAAATAAAAAAGAGAGTCCGTTCGTCTGGGAGGATTACAGGCGGAGGCCGCCGCGGCGCAGTCAGTGTGTGATAAAAGTCAAAGACTCTTGTACAAAAACGCCAACGACAGAGTGGCAAGAGTATCACTCGACGCGACGCTCACTGTTGCCGTTGCTCCTGCTAGTGGACACAAAAAGCACAACACTGCGTTGCGAATCCTTCGGTGACAATCGGCAGGATCGTAATCAGGGGATTTTTGGGAAAATAATCCTTGTGTGTTTATTTTATGGAATCCTTCTATCATTATGCATTTTAACGACGTCCTGTTAGATAGTAGTTCAGTCTTTCAACAGTATGGAATGATCTTGCTACGCCCCTGTCGTCAGTCGGTGTGTCCACGTCTCACACCGAAGCTGCCAGACAATCCAACATGAACGAGCAAGACGAGACGAGAGAAAATAATTATTATAAATAAGTAAACTGACTAATAGTTAAAAGATATAGATACATTACAAACAAGGTATTTTGAGATATAAATCTTAATTAAAATTGCACTATGTTTTCTACATTTACAGTTAGAAGATAGCTTTCCTTCCTTTTTGTGTCGTTTGTGTCTCTGAGCGTTTGCATCGTTTGCTCTCTTCGCATTGCTCTTCCACACGGCACGCTGGACCTACCCGCAGCATCCTACTTGGACACGACACGAGAGTGCACGAGACACACATCCAACCAACAGCATCTGCTTGCTCGCCTGCTATGGTCCTCGGCTGACATTTCTCCCTGGGCAGTTTTGAAAAATGTTTCTCCTTTAATATTTTTATGTTTTATTAGCTAAACTTTTGCTGTACACAGTGCACTGCACGGCAATTAATAAATATCATCGGTCGATGCAACGTGTGAAACGCTTACATTTGGAACGCACGCAGCTCGGCCGGCCTTTGCATTTCGCGTTTCGATCGACTCAGACCGGGTCTTCTGCTGTGGCGTGGCTTTGGGAATAATTGTTTCCAAGTGAATCCGCATATGGCGCTGTCAATAACGCCTCCGGCGGCGCTTCCAAACAAATATTCCTATGAATAGCTAAGAGAAAGTAAACATAAGCTACTACCTCCTAGACGGATGGAGCGATGATGCTCGGGAACTTCCTCGGGACTCAAACAAACAAACAATCAACCCATCGATTGAATGGTGTAGAATTTAAATATTTTTATTGTGAAAATGAATAATTACTCTCCTAGGCTTCTCCTTTTGTGAAAAAAGATACTCACAAAAAGCGCGTTGATGAGCATCGCAAATCAGCATATGAAAAACGGAAAGACGTGAAAGAAATGTTTCATAGGGTGGAAGTTACAGACAATTGCACACGGACGAAAGGAAATCAAGATCATCAACTCGAACCAGCATCCTTGCGCTGGCTGCCTGTCTGTGTCTTGTCAGAGGAAACAAAATGTTTGTTTTAGGGCATCTGTTTCTTATGAATCGTTATATGCAAATTTCAACTCTGGGAACGTTTCTAAAGAAACGGAAAGGGTTGCTACTGCTATTGCAGCACCTTCCCTCAGGGATTCTCCGGGATGGGAGCGGTACAGAATAATGATAAATTATGAGCTTTGAAATAGGAGTGAAGAGAGAGTATAGCTACGGATGAAAGAGGAAACGATGAAATTGGAACTGTATCGTTTTGATTGCATTCGAGCGCCGTTGGCTTTGACGAGCAGAAAGAACGTCCCACTTATGTGGGAACCGCAAGTAAGTAAAGTATCTATTCCGTTAAAAACAAGTAGTGTATGTTTCTGTTAAATATGATGCACATAAATGGAGCGTCATTTGTCATATAAGTTTGCATTAGTGAAGTTATGAGACATTTCATGAAATATTCCAAATATTGTATGCCGTCAAAAAAAAATCTGATGCCCAGATTGGATCTCCCATGTAACAATTTGGGTTTTATAAGGATTCTGAAGACCATTATTTAGACTTGTAGAATGCTTTAAAACTACGATAAAACATGCAAAGCTACTTGGGCTGTGTCTTGAGACACTAAACAAAGGTCCTTCTGAAATGGTTCAGAGATTGTTGTAGGCTATCCGATCAATAGATCTTCAGGGATCTAGCACGTTAGGTTAAGAAGGTAGAAGTTCAAATTATTAACTTTAAGACAAGGTTATTTTAATAAAAAAAAATTCGAAAGGAGAATTTAAAATTAAATCATAAACTAATACAAGAGATGAGAAACCAGTAAGTCTAACCACTTCAAAATTAAAATTAAAATTGTTGAACAAGAACAAGTATTAATAAAGTTCATGAAAACAAATAATTTCGACCATGCTTACGGTTTTATAAACCAATAAATAAATTACATGTCCGAGAAATCTTTATCTCATATATAGAGCATGCTAAAACGTGGAACTTCACCATGTTTCGATGATACCAAGGGGCAAGACAATACAGATATATTCGCAAATATCTTCAAATGTTTTAAAATATCATTAACAAATTTGCTTTTTATTTTTATTTCGATAATGCTGCAGAACAATGTTTATTCTACAAAATGGATTATACTTAAGCCTATTACAAGAAAAGATAGATATCAATCAATATTTTGATATTTTCATCCAAGTTGTCCCACCCCTAGGATAAGACAGGCTTATTTTTAAAAATGAATTAAAATTTACACAAACATGCAACAGAACATCATCGCAAACCGAAGCCCACACCTGCACCCGCACGTCTATGATGGGTTTTACTTACTGCCTGGTAAAACCATCGATGTGGAAATTGGTTACCGACTGCCGTTGAAATAATAACGCACAACCAACTCGACTCGACCACGACCATCGACCGCTAGCCCTCTGGCAAGATAGTCACGAACCAGTTTTGCCCGAAAGTGATTGGAATGAATTTCATTGGAAAACACCTCTCCTAGATCCCCGGCAACGGAACTTGGCACCGATGATTTGTTCGGTCCGGATCCGAGAATGGAATTTTCTACGCGTGCTGGTGCGAGACACATTCTTTCGGTGTCAAAGCCAAAGTCAGGGTAGCACACCGACGCGAACGCGTGTAGTGATCATCTCCCATCAGGTATAGTAGCGCCCGATGACGGTGGCAGTCGGTGTACGAAAAAGTTTAAACCAGAATTTCTGGAAACGAGTTTTTCCTGCTCTCGGAGCGGAATATATAAACAAACCAACAAAACACTGCTGATGCCCCTGCGAAGGTGGTCGATGCGATTAATCACGAAACAGAGAGTGTGCGCTTCCAGCGCTATTCAACGCGTGCAGGAAACCCGGGCACGAGGTCAAGGCCGTCGACGACGGATGGATGGATGGAATCACTTGTTTTCTGATGTTTATTCTGGTGATCCCGAAAACAGGACTAACTGGTTCACTCGCATCTAACACCTTTCGACAGTCTTGAAATCACACGCCAAACTCAGAATGAACGGACGGACGGGATGGGTGATGATTCCCAGATGGGATGAGTTAGCGGATTTTTTTTTATTTGGGAAGGGGTTCGCCCGACATTTCGTCACATCACGGAGCCGGGTATGAAAAAATCACGTGACGAAGTGCGAGAAAGAAGATACTTTTTTCCGGAAAGGGGTTCAAGTTCGGGGAAAGATTGCTACATAAAAAGGGTGCAATTGTTGAACGGATTGAATAGATAATAGTTTCAATTGAATGTGACGTCTCGGATTACTCTCGGGGTGGAACGAGGAATCGGTGCAGCAGCGGCATGAGAGTGATGATTTTTCCGAAACCTACCTTGACAGTCTGACTCTTGAGTGGCTTATCCGGATCGTGGATGTACTCGAGCGTGATGCCGTAGAATTGTCCCTTGTTGATGTACGTTATCCGGTCATCCTCCCGTCGCTGGGACGAACTGATGGGACTTTCCAGATAGTACTTGAAGCCGACGTTGGAGAATCTGCAAATGGGGATAGAGGTGAAATGAGAATAAATAAGAAAGTTCCGAGTAATTGCATAGAGTATATGGCTCTAGTAAAGAGCTGTCTATTTGTTTGGCATTCAAGGGTAATGTATAAACCTTCTCTCTGTGACCCGTTTGGGCTAATCGAGAAGGCACGCTGCTCATTAGCAAACTCGCCAGTGACAGAATGGATTTATGAACAGCATAATTGAAAGTTTCGAAATATTTCAACCAAATATGTCGGTCTGCAACTAAATTGCATTGGAACGGGCAGGTAGCCAGCAGCGTTATTATCTCTTCGCTTGTCCCTTTCCACCGCTGTGGTTGCAGCCAAATTGGCGATCACTTATACGTATCTAAGTACATAGGCATATGCACAACGATCCCTCCACAGGCTGACCGGAGAGCCGCCGTTGCCGAAGGGGACAGCACAAGATGGTACAAAATAGTTGAAAGCGCAATTAGAAATTTCTATGAATTAACAGGGGAATTGTAGAAATAATATCGAAAATTCCTTAACCGGAGCGAGGTAGGTACGTGCGTGTGCGATTCCAGCTGTCAATAGTGGGACGGACCAGCTTGGAGAGCGATGCGCTGAGGCGAACTGCTTTGCAGTGGCGTAGAACGGGGGGTCCGGTGCGTTCAATGCTATGCTTATGATGTGAACTCTTGTCAAGCGACATGTTTGATTTACTTTTGATTCGTTTGGTTCATGTCATCGATTAATTAATCAGCTCTAGATAGAGCTAGAATAAGGGCCTAACAGGTTTGTTTTAAACAATGACACTGCTAATAATTAATTTTCCTGACGTTCAGTTGAAATGTGATCTTAAATAAAGTATCACTGAGAAAATTTACCAGGATTGTGCTGAAAGACCAATCAAAATTTTAAATTACCTTAATAGCCAAGATTGCGTTGTCATAGCAAGCTCTGCCTTATTCGATATTGTAAGGACCATTGAGTGAGGGCGGATATCGAGATATGCAGGTAAAATTTGGAAATTTGTAAGGGACAATCTTAATTTTCGCTACACAGAGATTTCTGATTCTTTGGAAGAATAGTAACATAAATTATTATTGGTAGATTGTCAGAATTTTTAACAGAAAATTTAAATCAATTCCATAAGGAGTTTCATATAGATGTTCAAAGTAAGCTTAGACATAATTTTAAAAGCACTGCTATATGTTGACAGGAATCCATAATACATTTCAACAAGAAGAATTCTATAATGGTTTGTTGTAAATCTTCGAAGTAAATTACATCAGGAATTCAAGATGAAAATTGCTGTATAAATATTCAAATGATTCGAATAGAAATTTCGTCAACTGTTTTACTGAAACTGCTCGAAAAATTTAATCGGGATAATTATTAGCGATTAATTGAGCTTGTTGAATTACACTGAGTTGCGCAGATGGAGCATTAGATAATTCAATTGTACGTGTTATTCATAGATGTAAAAATAAGCCCTACGATACGGTTGATGAGAATTAACAAGATTATTTGTTTGATAATCATAGATAAAAGTGTGACCTTACCTATGAATCTAAACAGTTACCATGATATGGTTATATGTTAATGTTAAATTTATTTCAAAAAATGCCATCACCCATTTGTTGCGAATTTCATAATACTTCATTGCTTTGAACGTCAGACCAATGCACAGTGGTACATAATGCAGATTTAGGTGGAATGATATGTTTTGAGCCTGAAATTGAAACTTTAGACTAAAAGTCTCTTCTAAAAAGTTGTTCCTTATAGTTAGGCCCTCATTTTTATGACAATGAATTCTAGGGTGGTTCCTATTATCATTAAAATCAAAAATCTAACTTTTTTGTTTGAATAAATTAAGGTATACATTCTTCGGCAAAGTTATAGCTGAGCTGATTTCAAGCAACTTTGTTGAAAATAACTTTTTTCTATCTCTTGAATTGGCCGATTTAGAGCTATTTTATTGAAATAAGTTAGGGTTAGGAACAACTTTGTAGAAGAGACTTTTAGTCTAAAGTTCCAATTTCAGACTCAAAACATATCATTCCACCTAAATCTACATTCTGGACCACTGTGCAATGGGTGAAACTTGGCTTTGATTACTCTTAGGCGATTAAAAGTCGTGCGTATGCCTTAAAAGCCAAATACAGCTCTCTAAAGATCAAAATGGTACAACATGAATGACGGTGCCAGTAGGATCTGAGCTAGTGATCTGAAATGAGCAATCAGCCCAACAATTTTTCATGTACACCCCAATTCAATTCTGAAAAACTTCTCTAAAATGATAATGTTGAGAGATAATCTAAACTTTGATTTTCACAAAGTTGCTTGAAAACTCAGCTACAACTTCGCTCCACAACAATCCATGTATTTTCAAAAAACAAAAGTTAGATTTTGAAAATCAATTATTTTGTGGGAAACCCTAGTATTTACAACCACTACAAGAAAGACTTTTCGAGTCAAAAACTTCACCAAAGTCACCAAACCTCCAAATATTGCAGCATAGGCTCTAGGACTACTATTCCTGCTAAATTCACATTCTGGACCACTGCGCATTGACGTTGGTCGGTCAGACTTTTTGCGCTGCTCCTTCACGTACTCCCAGAAAGACTTCGGATGCCACTTGAGTTTGCTTTGAATCCTTCGTTGATATCGCAAGTAGTATCGACGGTTAACTCGCTTGAACGCATAGTTGCACCTAATGTAGTGGTGTTTCCGTGAAAGTGTACGGTTTCCTCAATGCGGTGCTCTTGACCGACACTTTTCGATAAACCTGTCGGTAGATTTCCTATAAGAATTGACCAATAGTTTTTAATTTCAGAATTTGGAATGTTTTGGTGAGCGGCTATGTTGCTTGACGTTACAACGTTAGATACTTACCAGCACATTTTTAGCTACTCAAATAAGATCCTAGATGGTTGGCCCAAATAACTGAAGCAGTTTTTTATTTCAGTGTTTTGAAGTGCTCGAAATGGGTAGTATCCACCCAGCTCTTTCAAAACTGACTCAGAAATTGGTAAACCAACACAGAAACAAATTCTGAATGTTAATGGTGATGTAAACATTCAGCATGTAGAGTTTCTTTTCACGTAAAATAGCAACTTTCCAGAAATGTTGCTTGAAAAGATGGATGGTTGTATGCAATATTTTGAATATTTTATGGAATGTCTCATAAATTTACACGAGATTTAATGTAAACTTGTATGATACATAACGCTCCATTTATGTGCATCATCGTGACAGAAATCAACACTACTTTTTCGAACTGTAAAGCTATAATTTGACATATCCGGAGTGATTTGAGATTTGGGCGTGATTGCATTTGTAAACAAACACGTCAATCACCGATTTCTCGCGAATAAAAGCTCAATCTCGAAAAGTAATAACACTATGAGGTAGAGGAAAGATTCCTCTATCATTTGGTATAGTTTGTTTGTGAGATTGAGCTTTTATTCAAGAGAAATCAGTAATTGACGTGTTTGTTTACAAAAGCAATTACGCCCAAATCTCAAATCACTCCGGATATGTCATCGTGCTGTTTTTGGTCAAATATTTTCCGGAACTTATCTTTAAAAAATTGTTGCCAGTCTCTTCACTGGATGATACTATATTGGACTGTCCCATGTAAGGTGTTATAGTTTAAAAACCCTAAACCAATGGGAATTGCCTAATTCAATGCAAGTTTGCAATAATAACTGTATAACATTCTTGAATCCCTGAGGTGCATTCTGCTTGCAAAGCCTTTCCGAAAAGGCTCAAGGCAATTATAAAAGCTGAAGGTGATTGTAATGAACTGTAAGTGTATTCTCTTATACAGGGTTGGAGTAGCGTTCACAATAGACATACATCACATCATTTGAATTCACACCAACGAGTTTTTTTCATTGAAAGTCCGAAATGAGCAGCGATTATTTCTCTTTTCGTTTTGTGACACTGACATGAGAACAGATTTTCGCCTAAATACAAATGTTACGTACCTTGTTTAGGAACCTCAAGCTTCTTTCTATCAGTTGCTTCAAGAAAAACCGTGTTTCGTCAAGTGAGTGCAGAATTATTAGCAAATGAGCAATATATTGATGACACCCCATTAGCCATAAATAAGTTAGCCATACGGACGTTTGCCCTACGGTCGATTGTCAGAATGGACGTTAGCCATACTGTTATTTTGTATGTGGACGTTAGCCATAATGTACCATACCATAATGAACATTTGCCAAAATTCTTATAATAAAATTAACTAACATTTTAAAATACATGTTTGCTGTTGGATTTACGCTTGCCATAATATATTCATTGTTAATCCACATTTTACAACTGGTGATATTTCAAATAACAGGTCTTGCTATAAAGAAGGTATCTTGAGCTGTTCTTTGACGGATACAAGCTTTAGAAAATTCCATCTGAAGATTCTCAAAAGTAACATCTATTTTGGATTTGACTCCTTCTTTACAGCATGAGCTGTTCTTTGACAGATAAAATCCCTGTTATTTGACATTTTTTTAAGAAAAAAAAAATTAAATATTCACAAATTATTTTCCTCTTTCAGCTGTCTCCTTCTTTATACTATAAGCAGTTCTTTGAAAAATAAAATAGTTTTAAAAATTCAATTGCAATAGCCACAAATTATTTTTCTCTTGGAGTTGACTTCATCTTTACATAATAAGCTGTTCTTTTGTAGATAAATAGTTTCAATAACTCCTTTGAGATGCTCACAAATCATTTCTCTCTTGGAGTTTACTCCTTCTTTGTATCATGAGCTGTTCTTTGACAGATGAAATTCCATATGAAAATTCTTAAAAGTTGCATCAACTCCAAGAGAGGTTGGATGAGCAGCTCGGAATATCAAGCTAACAAAACTCACCAGCTGCAAGATTTTTGCTTTACACCCGAAAGCAACTAAAACTTCCATAACGCCTGGCAGCAGTCGCTTCGTGTCAGCCATAGGTGAAGAGAAAAAAGAGACAGCATTATTATACCTTCTCTTTCTAAGAAAACGAGGTACAACGGA